TTTAAATTGATTAGCATGCATATTACGAAGACTAGCAATTAAATAAAGAATTACTACAACTTTTTTTTTAGCATCTTCTTGTAAAATTGAAGCCCAATTTAATGGTATTATAATCTTATATATTTCATCAAAAAATCTAATTAAATCAGAATCTGATTCTTCAAGCATTTTCTTAAAATTATTAGGTTCAAGTACAAGAGTAGCTAATTCTTTTCATTGCTTATTATATATTATAGTTGTCATTTTTTTTATTTTATCTGCAAGAGATAATTGTGGTGATGAATCTAAAAATAAATAAATTATAAATTATAAATTTTCTTTTTCTTTTTGTTATCAAATTTGCTTATTTATACTATATAAATTATAAATAAAATTTTATATAATTATTATAATTTTTGAAATAGTTAAAAATTGCAAATAAAGTTTTTTTCTAACAAATACTTAAATATTCGAATACTTGATTATCTTAGCATGTTGATTAAAGATTGATTCCAATTTTGTAATAGTTTAAATTATTATTAAACAATAGTTATATGAATTAGTTATATTCAATTAATCACCCGATCACTATATTAAGATCACAGAAGAATTAATTAATAATACCCTGACCATATATAAATAAGTGGAAACTTCGTCTTTGCTAATTTCCAATAAATCAAGATATTATTATTAAAGCAAAACCTCTATTTGTTAAAAAAATATTATTTGCAATTTTCAACTATTTCAAAAATCACAATAAATAAAATTTAAATATTTATCAATAAAATTATTATTTTCAATAATATTATTTAAATCAATATTATTTTGGAAATTTTTTCTATAATTGCTTCAAGCATTTTCAACAATTTTCATAAAATGAGTATTACAAATTTGTTGATCTATTTGTAAATATGAATATTTTTGAAGAGTTTCTATAGCTAATGCTTTTGCAAAAGCATTATCAGTTAAACTTCTAAATATTGTAAATTCTTTGTTACAATTGTAAATAGAACAAGGTTCTTGGTTAGTTTTTTGTTTAGGTATAGTAATAATAAAAATTTTGTAATAAAGTTTTGTAAAAAAATTTAAATTTAATAAATTTAAAAATAATTTATTGATATAATTCAAAATAATCGCTATACATAACATACAGAGTAAAAAGAAAATCAATATATTCTAAACCAAAATTATTTTATTTATTATTATAATTATACATATCTAAAACTATATATTTAAATTAGAAATATTTTTTTTTTTTTTTTTTTTTTTTTTTTTTATTAATATAATGTCATAGTAGAAACTTTATTACAATAAACCTATATT